GAGATGTGAGGGTTTTCCCAGCAGAAGGAGCACGGCAGCTTAAACCCCAATCCTTCCGAGCCTGCAGAGTAGCCATAACCCCGAGAGGAATTAGAACAGGTTGAAGGGACTGGACAGTCCGGATAACTGAGCATCATTCTTTTTCATTCCGTCCCATTCCCTCCTTTGTCTTCCTCTCTCTGTTTCTCCCACTTGCAACGTCTGCCATATTCACATGTTTGAAAGTGGCGAAGCCGTCCAGAATTGCTCCTGGGACAGGGAGGAACACGCCAACGTGGGAAAGATGAAATGAGTGACGAGTTGTCGAATTGTCACCTGACCAAGGAGGGAACTCAGCCCCGATGGGACACCCCTGCCCACGTACCCTCCCACCATGTCCCCCAGGGCCCGCAGGACCAGGCGGTTGGTCGTGAGCCTCCTGGGCTCCCGCAGAAGCAACAAGGACTTGAGGGGGGTTTCCAGCTTCCAAGGCTCCTGGCCCTGAGAGAGGCATGTCTGCCATGTGGGAGGGCCGGCCACCGCAGGATTTCCTGGGGTGACAAAATCACACCTACAGAATGAACATGTCCCGGGCCCCGCTGAGCCAACAGCTCTGTGTTCTCCACCAGGGATGAAGCCAAGGGTCTGCACTTTCACCAGGTGACTCCTATTTTGGGCACTGCTGCCCCAAAAATGTCCTACACCCTCCAGTCTCCACACGGCCTGGCCGGGTGCCACGCCGAGGCTCCCGCACCCCAGCTCGGCCTGCCCTTCCCTCTCTGATGCTCGCTCCCCTGTGAAGCCACAGTCCCAGGACGCCCTGTGTTCTGACCCTGTCTCAATGCCCTCCTCCTAATGCTTGCCTCCCTTCCTGAGTACCCCCCCAGGGCCCAGAACACCATGGGGGCCTCGCCAGCACTGCCCACAGCCTCGTGTTAGCCTTCACTGAGCCTCATACAGGGTGAGATGGCAAGTAAATGTTTATTGAACAAACAGATCGGTCTTTACTACTTTCCTCCAGGAACTCACTTGCCCCAAACACACAGCTTGTGACGAAACAAAACCCAACCCGATCTCTTGCTTGATTCCGGTTTGCAAGCCGCGTGCATTTCCATGTCCCCAAGCCTGGTGCCTGCCATTCCCCTCCTTCTCTCCCTTGGCTTGACGGCCACCTCCTCCAGGAACCCTTCTTTGATTTCCTTTTATTCACTCAACAAACATGCCCTGAGGGTCCACCCTGGCTCGGCAATTTGCTAGGCTGAGAACAAGCCAAGAACAGGCAGGAGGGGTCCCTGCCGAGACCCTCAAGGAGTAGCCAAGTGTCACAGTGATGAGTGCCCCCAGCCTTTCCCAGTAGCTCCGCCAGAGTCCTTCTTCAGAGCGTTTCACTCCCACGTCCTGGAATTACATGGCACACACGGAACACACTTGCGCACGAGGCACGGCGCGGCTTCTAACAGGCAACGAGCACGCACTGAGTCGTGCTCATGAACCCACGCACTTAAAAGGACGAGTTCCTCCAGAAACTTTTGTTGAATAAACAAAGCATAGAAAGAAGTGTCAGGGGGATCTGGGTGAGGCTAAAAAGGAAAGCTAACACCCATCAAAACCACAAGGAGATACCGCTACGCCCCAGTCAGCGTGGCCAAAACGCGGAACTCTGCCAACGCCAAGTGCTGGCGAGGACGGGGGCCGCGGGGACCGTCCCACGTCACTGGCGGCAACGCAGAATGGGGCAGCCCCTTTGGAAGATGGTTTGGTGATTTCTTACAAAACTAAACGTACTGTTGCCGTACGAGCCAGCAGTAGTGCTTCTCAGTATTTCCCCGAAGGAGCTGAAAACTTACATCCCCATGAAAACCTGCCCACGGATGTGTACAGCAGCTTTATTCCTAATTGCCAAAACGTGGACGCTCCCAATATGTCCCTCAGCAGGCGAGCGGATAAACGGCAAAACACCCAGGCAACGGAATATTACTCGGTGCTGAAAAGAAACGAGCTACGAGCCAGGAAAAGACATGGAGGAAACCTAAATGGGTATTTCTAGGTAAATTAATCCAATCTGGAATGACCATATACCACATGATTCCAACTCTCTGACGTTCTAGAAAAGGCAAAACTCTAGAGAGGGGCTTTAGCCAACCACAGCACGGGGGCCTGGGCTGGTCATGCCAGCAGCCTACACTCCACTGGGGACCTCAAGAGACGGGAGCTGCTGAGGGCCCTGGGCCATGGCATGCACAGCCTGGGGAGGGATGCTGGCCAGCAGCCTCCGAGGGTGGGGACATCCTGGACAGGACGAGGACGGGACAGCGCAGGCCCCGGTGTCCGGCTGCCTGGGTACAGATGTGGCCTTCTGCCTCTTACCAGTTCGGTGACCTTGGGCACCTTATTTCACGCCTCTGTGCCTCAGTTTCCCCATCAGGAAAATGGGGAATCACACTTTCTATGCTATAAGACTGCTGTGCCGTCTACAGGGGTGACACTTGCAAGCACCCACGGAGCTGGGAAGGACGAAGCCACCCATGGGGGCTGGTGTTCTCACTACCAGCTGTCACTTTTCAAGCCCTGTGTCCGGCGTGCTGTGCACCTCGGCTCACCTCGTCACCCCACCTCCAAGGAAGCATGATGGTCTCCACACTCAGAGGCTTTCCCAAGGCCACCGATGTAACGAGAGGGATCTGGACCAAGGACCCAAGGACCCTTGCCTCCAAAACCGCCGTGTGGCCCTGCGTTTGGGGGTGAACAGTCTCTGTGGCAGGAGCATCCGCCCGTGGGGAGCCGCCCGGCCTCGCTGACCGGCATGTTCCTCGGGTGCCTGTGACCTGGGAACAGTGAAGTCTCGGCTGCAGGGGGCGGGTGGGGGAGGCTGGGCAGAAAAGCCCCAGGTAATGTCAGTGGAAACTCTGACCGACAGGCGTGCACCTGGTGTTTTTGCATTTCCCAAGACAGCTGAAGGGATTGCGTCTGAAGCTTCACACCCCAGAGGAAACCAGGGCGTAGCCATCGGGGTGGCCGGACTGGGTCCCGACGCCACCTCACACCCCAGCCTGGACATTCAGAGCAGGAGCTGATTTAAACGCAGCCCCTCAGGTAACTGGGAACCCCTCTTGGTGGGGGGGACCTGACCCAAATCCCAACTGGGGAGGACAGGGGTGTTCTTGGTTCCAGGGAAGAAGCAGCAATGCTCTGTTCCCCACAGGTTCCTGCAGCATTAAAGGGAGACCCCAAGCCCACTTGTCCAGGCTGCACGTGAGCTGTGCTGGGGAGGCCACCCCCAGGGAACCCCAAGGGTCTGGCTCCTTCAGGTGCCAACTACGCAGGCGGCCTACAGCAACGATGGGCGTCATGCGGGAAGCGGAGCTCAAACAGAGGACGGAAGCGGCCCCAGGTCACGCCTAACTGGAAGAACCAGGACTCTGAGCTGGGCCCGACTCCGAGGCCCTGGCACCCTCCCTGGGCCAATGGGAACAGGAACCTTGAGAAACCGGCCCGAATGTGTCCCCAGGCAGCGGCCACCCTCTAGCACAGAGCACAAGCCGCGGCCCTCCGGGGAAACCCCGGAAGACACCAGAAGACAAGGTCTGTGGCCTTGAACTACAGTAAGTTATGGGACTGCGCGAGTGACCAGAGACAAATTCCTGCATCAGCAAGGCTGGCCCAGCTGTGTCGGACAGACAGACAGACAGGCACGTGCATAGCGGTCAGGGGCCTGGCGAGGCTGAAGGAGGCCTCTGCAGCTGGGTGGCTGGGGGATGTGGCCGGCCAGAGGGCACCCGTCTATAAGGGCTGCTGCCCGCCCCAGGTGGCCACAGAGGACGAGGAAGTCCGGTGGCAGGCCAAGACCAGCCCCTCCCCCCATACACAGGAAGAAGGTGGCCCGGAGGCCTTCCAACCCTGGTCAGAAATTTTCATTTGAAACCAGAGACAGGCAGAGAGAGCCCTGCAGGGACACAGACCACAACAGTGCTGGACAGAGGGCCAGGATCTCACGGAGCCCCGTGTGTCCCTGCGAGCAGCAGGCACACAGGGAGCTCCGAGGAAGCCCCCACTGCCCCATTCTGGTAAGCTGGGCTGCAGGGCCCCGATCTGGGTCCAGCTCCCCACAGCCTGACCCCCCCCCCCATACACACACTCACCAGGCCCCAGAAAAGGTAGAGAAATATTTGTTCGACTTACCTATCTACCACTTCCTCAGAATAGACTCATGCCCGTCGGGCGTTCCAATTCCGGAGGCAGCTCAGACCTGAGTTGCAAACCTTGTCCTGCCTCCTGGAACCCTTTCTGAGAGGTGCCTCTCTGAACAGGAGCGGCCATGACAGCTAGTGCCCCAGGAACAAAAGGTTCGAGAGCTTTTTTAAAAAGGTGAATCGAGGCCAGATGTTGACTAAGGAGCTTCAAGGCTAAGAAACCATCTCCAGGTCAACTCACAGCTGAGCTCAGGCAGAGAGGACCCCTGGCTGTCTCTTCCAACCCGTCCCCCTAAACTGTGCACGCCTTGGCCTCCCAACCCCCCCAGCCTATGCCTGTCCTCTCACCAAGCACGCTGCCCCTGCACTCAGGGTCCCTGGTCACCTGGTGGGTTCAGAGGGCACAGCTTCCACGGTTGGGGGGGGGAACCCGGCTCAGCAAGCAGCCTGGAACTTTCACTCTGACACCAGCCCTACACCATCAGGCAAAATGCCAGGCGCAGCACCCACAGGGGAAACAGGCCAGGCGACACGAAAGCAAGAACAAAACCAGAATCGGGCGCGTTATTTTTATCATGATACAGACTCGCAGCAGAGATCTCACAGCTAAAGGGGCACCCCAGGCGGCAGGCAGGTTTCTCTCCCCCTCTGCCTCTTCCCTGCTTCCGTGCCCTGCCCCTCCCCCCCCCCCACCGCCTCGGGGAAACGGAGAAAGTGGATCGGGTCAGAGCGAAACATTCCTCATTCTGCCTTCACCACAGGAAAAACTAATTAGTCGCCAAATATTCGGAATGGGTAATTGCTACCTGAATTAATAAGGGCAAACAGCCAGCGAGAAAACGGTGGTTTACTATTTCTGAGAGCTTGCCTCTCTTAACCCGGAGTCCCAGGCTCTGCTGGGAGGGACGGGCTCTGGGGACACACATCTCCCGCTGGCAGCCGGCAGAACGGGGACACGGCAGCCTAGGGCTGTCCCTGCGTCTGGGGCATTTCAAACACTCCTGTGGCTGGGGGTCACCCTTGTCTCCTCCACCACACAGCACGCGTGTGCTCACATACACGTGCACGCTCACGCACCATCACCGCACACGTGCACACAGCACACACGGGGACGTTCAAGGGGTCCAAGGGGAACGCATCAAACCAGATCCTCACCCGGGGGCTCACCAAGTCGCCCCGAGTTCCTCTGCTCTGACGGGGGGTATGTAGACCAAACTGAGGGGGTTCCAAGCAGAAGGAGGAGGAAGAGAGAGGAAAGGGACAGTGGAGATGACCCTAAGGAGAAGAAAACAGGCACGCGGGAAGGCGGGTGCAGCCCTGGTCCACTCCCACCCAGCACAGGCTCTGGAGTTCTGCCCAGAGGGTCCTGGGGAGCCTGCTGAGCCCCACCATGACCTTGCTCTGTGACCTCAGACACATCACTTTCCCTCTCTGGGCCTGGGTTTCTCCCCCTGTAGAAATGAAGGGACTCCGTGCAATTATTTGAACAGTTCTGAGGTGCTGCCCCCCAGGAAGTCTTCAGTTCAAAGTTGGGGTCATCCCAGTCTCCCCTGCCTGCAGCCCCTCCCCCCACCATGCCGGACTTCCCCTGAACAGGGCAGCAGGCAACTTCCTCCGGGGCGGCCGTGGCTCTCTGGAGGCGTCCCAAGGTCACAGGGAACTTAGGCCCAAGACATCAGCCACCAATGCTGCTGTCGAAGCTGCACAGGGAAGTCGGGGCTGCGTCTCCAGGGGCCGCCAGTGCCCGGCGTGCGTCCGTGTGAAGCTGCCACAGAAATCAAGTGTGTCCACACGGTGCACAACGGGTCCTTCGCTTTTCTTCATTTAATGTCATGTAAGCAGCTGTCGTGGCTGTACGTGGACGGCTCTTTTTCTAACAAACACCCGATAATGCTACTGAAGGCTGTGTCATAGGTCCGACTGAGCCCTACTCGGGGACTTCAGTGCAGGTGTTTCCAGGCTTTGGCTTTTATAAACGTTGCTCTAAGAAGTCTGCTCATATGTGCTCGTTCTGTAGAAATAAAAAGTTCTCTGTATGCCGGTATCTACCGGTATCTTTAAAGGTTCCTACTCGCCTAGAAACAACGTCTGGTGCTCCGCACACCATGTCATCAGCTGTGGTCACTGCTTGGGCATGGGATCGGGGAAGAAAACTCAAGCTTTGTGTAAGCAATACTTTATACTGTTCTGGAAATGCCATCAGTAAAGGGGAAAATAAACGAAGTGCAGTCTGTGTTGAAGCCCTTCAGAAGTGGTTTTCTTAGCGGGTGTGGATCTGGTAAGAGCAGAGCCACAGAACCACAGAACGAAGGGAGGAAGATGGCAGAAGGAGACACCGGGAGCTGCCACCTTGTTCTACTGGGTCGGCTCTCCCCTGTGCTGGCGAGGACAGGACCTGGGTTCAAAACCTGCTCCGTGCACTCACCTGGCCCCTGGGTGTTGTTTTTTGTCTCCGAGGACTTCCATTTCCCCATGTGCAGAATGGGACCCCCAGCCAGCAGGTCCCACGAGACCAACAGAGAGCACCAGGCACAGAGGGGTCCACCATCAGCCTCTGTCCTGCCATCTTCTTCCTCCCTGCTCCAGGTCGTGAGAAAAAGAAACACGGAATCTCACGGCTGCTCCTCAAGTCCCCATGCCTCTCCAGCCTCCCCCATGGCCCCCAGCCCAGTCTCAGGGCTTACCTATACTGTGGCCTTTCTCCTGAAGACAGAACCTCTGCCAAGATGCACCCCTTGGGCACAAATGTGAGCACATCTAGAAATCTGCAGATTCTTAATAACTAAGACAACCAACCCCCTTTGTCACTAATTCTATGTGGCAATAAATCTACTAGCCAATGTTTTTTATTTATTTTTCCCAGAAAACACAGTAAGCCCAAGAATCAGAAACACAGCAACTCCAGGGTTGAGCAGGGATAGTCTTAAAACTCCCAGGGATGGTTATACACTTTGGCAATCACCCCTTCACGTGGGCGCGCCCTGGGTTAGGAGTCGGGACCCCTGTGGATACAAACAGGAAGGGAGGCCTGGCGGGCAAGAGCCAGGTCACCAAACTCTGAGCAGCCCACACCCCTGCCAGGATCCACAGTCGCCTGCACCCAGCCAGGCCACTGACCGATCCCAGCTCACCTAAGGCCAGAGGACCTCGGGAATCAATAACTTGAGCCGAAAGCCCCAGCTTCAGAGGCCCCCATGAGATGAAAGTCAACCGGCCAGTGTGGTAACCGCTGATGTCACCACCTTCCCACAGATCTCAGGGGGCTGTTCCTGTGGCCAGATGGGCTCATGTCTGTGAAATCATGTGAGGACATGAGAAGTGGGGACTGTAGTCACCCCTACTCCCAGGAGCCAGCCCTGGGTCTCCAACTAGCCAGACTCCCCAGGCCTGGGAAGGATTGCTGTTAGTCACCAAAGATCCTGCCCCCCACCTCCCCAGAGGCCTGCCTCCCTGCCCCAAAAGCAGTCCGGGTTCCCAGTCCAGGAATCAGCCTTTGGCCCTCTCCCTAGAGACACTCTGAACACTGCAAGTGCCTTCACTCCAGAGAACATCAAAGCCCACAGCATTTCCCACCGTGTCCTTCAACCCAGTGAGCTGTGAATGTCTGTCCCCGTGGCCCGTGAGCTTGGCTTTGACCAGGGAGCCAGACCCCATACCCCAAATCCATTGCAGAGGCGGTGACGCAGCTCCCCCAGTGGAAAGGCTGAGGCGGGTTCTGCCTGGGATTTGCACCTTTAAGCCACTCAGTAAAGAGCTGTGTCTCCATAAGCCTCTCCTCCACTTTCTTATGGGCTAATGGGTTAATCATCTTTAATTTTAGAAATAATTGCAAACAACTGTAAAGCACACACTGGCCCGGTGTCCCCCAGCTCGAAATCTCTCCATGCATAGGGGACAACATTTTTATCCTATCCCAGTTACCCACCTTGGCTGCAGATGAAATGTTAATGAAAGGTTATGCTCGCAGCCTTCCAAAAATGATTACTCAAGACAGCAATTACATTTTCCCCTTTTCTGTGCAATAAAACTGTACCTCACTGCGCACTGAGAATTAATAATTTCAAACCCTGTTGTTACAGAGGCAGCATCAAAGCGGAAGGGAAGGCATGCCCATGAGGGAAAACACACACACGTTGAGACCCACAAAGAAAAGAGGGTGACTTCAAAAGAGTAGCGTTCTACATTCAGGGCTGGGGTCCTTTCTCAAGGTCATTAACAACTCTAGCTGACTGAAAGAGTGGCCCAATTACAAAGCACACAGAGAAACAGAAATTAGAACAGCTCCAGCCCTGGGTCACTCTGCACAGCCTGGCAAGGACCTGGGGCCCACTGGCCAACTCCCCCAGAATCCTTCATGACTCAAAAACTCAGGACAGCCGGCTGAGTCCAGAGCCAAAGTTCAGGAGCTTCCTGGGTAATTTCCACGTGAGAAGAAAGAGGACACCCCATAGCCCAGAAGAACAGCGGCCATTTATTGAGCACATACTATACTGCAGGCAAGAGCAGCGAGGCAGGAATGCCCAGCCTCCCTGGATGGCTAACAGAACGGAAGCTCAGAAAGATTCATCATCTGCCCGAGCTTGCACAGTAATTGCCAGAACTGGGATTTGAACTGACGTCAAAGAGGGTGAGGACAGTCTGCGTGTCTGCCCCGTTCACTTGGGTCCCCTCAGACCACCTAGCAGGGTGCACAGCATAGAGCAGGTGCTCAATGAATTGTACTTATTTAATGAGAGCGATTACTCTGGCTCGAGCCTCCATGCTCGGAAGGCAAAACTCTGCCCCTTCTCCACAGACTCCAAGAGAAAAACCAGTTGCAATCAATGAGTCTCAGCATTGAGGGAACTGGGGTGGGTGGGGGAAAGGGCAGGCACGCGATTTGGCACACCCCGTGACAGCAGGCCCCCAGGATGCCCCCCCGCCAATGCATGCTCAAACTTCACCCCTGGAGGTCAAATATTTTTCCTAAGATACAATATAATCATCCGCTAGATTAGTGGGCTACGGTGTGAGGCAATTAGGGGTTCCTTTTGTTCTGTGACCATGCGAAAATCAGAAATTTTTCATGACTCTCCCTTGAGGAACCTTGGGTGACCAGATAGTGCCCTGGTCCTTGGGGGTGGGGGGCCCGCCCACTGCCCTTCAGCCCTTTAGGTAACTCTGGGGCAAATGAGAAAACCTTAAGGCCTTAGAGAACAAGGTCACAGGTTGCAGGCGAACCGAGAGTTGGGGAGCTGTGACAGAGCTTGGGATCATGTGGCCCGGAGCTGGGGGCCCAAAAGACAAAGGAGAAAATCTGCTGACCCTACCGGAGGAGGGGAGAGCTGCTGAGGCAGGGGGAACAGAGCTGTCCCGGGGTCACCGAGGCGGGGTGAGTGAGGCCTTCCCCTTGGACAGGGAAGAGCAGGGCTTCCCGAGAGCGGTGCATGTGGAGAGAAGGGCCCAGGGAGGCCAGAAAGTGGCCAGCAGGGGGTGGGGAGGGCAGACTGCCTGCTGGGTGGTTTCCTCGAGCCCCAGGATTCTTCTGGAAACTGCAGCAGTTCTGGGTACATGTGAGGAGCTGGGGCGACCCTTTGTGATGGGAAAGGCAGGAGAGGGCAGGAGAGGAGGTGAGAGGAGAGTGTGACAGACACTCAGGAACTCAGCTCCTCAAGCAGAGGTAGCGAGCTGGGCCGACTGAGGATGCCTTAAAGCAGACATGCGGACTAACGGGAGCCCGGTCACCGCCCAGAGCCCAGGCCGGTGACAGAGCTGGCAAGCAGCAGCCAGAAGAAGGGACACCCGTGCTGAGTGTCCCGTGCGTGTGGCATGGCGCTCAGTGCGAGATTCAAGGTCAGAAAACGTGAACGCAGCCCATGAGGGTCATGCAGCTGTGTGACAAGGCCAGCTCAGCCCGAGAGCACCCGGATGCAGAAGCGAGGGCCCGAGGCTTGCTGGGGAATCGTGACAGAGCCCGGGTACCATGACCCGGGGGGTACGGCCTGCCAGGGGCAGTCTGGGTACCACGACTCGGGGGGCACGGCCTGCCAGGGGCAGTGTTTGCACAAAGGGTTCAGATGAAGAGTACCACAGTCCCCGAGACACCTGCCGACCCGGGGTTCCGTGAGACTGCCAGACGGCCCTCTAGAATGGGGACACCCCGGTGGGAAACCTGAAGAACACGACGGCACTGCTGGAGGAAAAGACGGAAAGAGGGTCCCCCACCTCCGGAAAAGTGCCAGAGCGCCTGCATTTTCTGACCCGGAATGAATCCACCAGCACTCATCCCCCTTAGTCACACGTGGTCCCAGAGCCCAGAGAGTCACTGCCCAGAGGTAGCAAGGTCCCAGCTTCCTCCTGCCTTTGACCTATTGGTCCTTCCCTGCTCAGCAGGGCTTGGCCAGAGAGGCCACCCAGAGAAAAGGCACAGTGGGAGAAGAAAGAGAGGTGGCAAAGGGAGCTGGGTCCTGGGACGGAGCAGCCCCGGGATGTGGGATGCCATTTACAGCCTAAGAGAGCTCCTCAGGGAGCCCCCGCCCCGGGGTCCTCACAGGCCTTCCTGACCTGCCTGTGAATGGGGGCAGGGGTGAAGGAGGCAGAGGACAGGCATGAGAGAGTAGCCAGGCCCATCCAGAGCCACTGCCAGGAGCTGAGCCAGGGCTGGGATGCCTGTCCGGGGACCACTCAATCCCGGGCCGCTGCCAGTGTGGGTCACAGATGCTCCAGCCTTCGTGTGCAACTGAGCGAGGGACACCTGCGAGAAGAAGAAGCGGGAATGTTCCGAGAACCAGATCCTCCTTCCCTCTTCCAGAAAATTGGGGCCATTTTCCAAGGAAGTCAAAGAAGAAGTCAAAGAAGCTGCTTTCCACAGCCTGAGAGACAAGGCACTGTCCCAGTCACGGTTTCCAGCAGTGCCCACCTACTCCAGTCCAGAGGGCAGGAAGCAGGTTGACCAGGCCAGGAACATAGAGAAGCTGGGGGCAGGGCTTCCTGGGGGCTCAGAGCAAGCCCCCAACCCACCCCCACCCCACCCCCAGCCCGGCCCAGATCTGTAGGAAGAGCCTCTCCTCAGCAGTGTTCCAGATTCTTCCTCCACCTCAGGTCTCACCCAGCATGGGGACAGGAATGCCTGAGGATCCCTGGGAGGCACACCTGAGAGGTGGCCACCTTGCGGCCCAGGGTCTACGGGCAGAGAAGCAGCAAGGGCCCCCAGCGGGACTGAGGCTGGTGCGGCCACCTGGTCTTGGTCATGGGGAGAGGGGGCGTTGAGAGGAGGGGGCCCTCTGCCTGGCTCAGGGAGGCACGGGGGGGGCATCACACGCTCACGCATTCATTCCGTAACACTTACTGGATGCCTCGCGATGCGCAATCTTAAAACAGAAGCGGTCTCAGGGGGGAGGGAGGCTTGTGATTATCCGACCCAGCGCAGGGAGATGGCCAGCCCGGGTCGGGACAGGGACATGCGCGGGCACAGAGCGCGGGCTGGGGTGCAGAGAGGGAAAGGGAGAGAGGGTGAGTGCCCCCCCGCGGGACCCGAGACTCGGCTGCAGGCGCCTCTCTAGCGCCTGGATGGAGGAAGTTGGGGTCAGAGCTCC